TATATATATATATATATATGTATATATATATATATATATATATATATGTATATATATATGTATATATAGGTGTTTTAAACCCTTCCCACAATCTTGTAATACTCTAAACAATGTTTTTAAACTCTAAATGCTCTAAAAGAGCTCTCTACCGGCGCTCTCGGACACGCCCACTTCTTCGCTCTGCACGGAGATCAGCTGATCAGCGGCAGGAGGAAGCTTGCTGCACACAGGTGCTAAATCATTTCAAATAATTTATTTTAAATTTAAAAAATCATGCCGATCGTGTGGCTCATCCATCAGTCAGCCATTGTGTGTCATGTCCAGTCTTACTTTGAAAAACCGCGATAGAGCGAGTCTGCGAAAAATAAACCGTGAAGTAGCGAGGGACTACTGTACTGGACGTCCAGCCCCTGAGCTGCTGGCTTTAAGAAACGAAACGGTTTTGTTGAATAGCCCTCGTATAGAAGATAAAAAATCTAGATTGAGACATCTGTAGAAAAAAACTATCCATCGGCTAATAATACTTGATAGGATCTTCTGCATGAATGTGTATGTGAATTAATATATACTGTATGTGGATCTTCTATCCTTCAACAAGGATTGAAAAATATTTCTCTGTCTTTTTGTTTAAAATGTATTTTAAATCTGTTTGGGTGCCTTAACTTGTATTTTATGAATGATTAAACAAACACACACAAAAAAAAACATGATTAAATTATTAGAAACTACTTTTTAAATCAAATACAGGGTGTCATAGGGCAAATGCTCCAAAAATGCTGTTGGATTTTTTTTTTCTATAACCCACTTCTTTAAATGCCCAACGATTATTAATGTGATCTCAATGTTCTCTGAATATAAAAATGATCCCCATCTGCCCTCAGCGCTGCTTCACTTTGTCTCATTTGGCTCATGATCATGTGCAGAGGGAACAAGAACCACCTCAGGAAAACATTTTGCTTAATGAATGGTGTGTGTGTGTTGGTGTGTGTGTGTGTCAGGCTCATCTCTCATTTTTAATTCAACATTTTTCTCCTGTGAAGGTTGGAAACCTGTTCGGTTCTCATCGATCCACCATCATCACTCTGTACAACGGGGCCTTTGATTCTTCCTCAGCGCTCTTCCTCATCATCAAGGTGACAAAACACTCACATTAATCAAATGAAACTAGCTCTCCTCGGAGGAACTCGTATCGCAGCTCGCTGCCCAACATCCCAAAGTTTCATGCAAGGATATCTGTTAGCGCTCAGCGTATGTTTTGGGGATGACTCTCAGCTACTACCACGCAGAACTTTAGCTCCACAGCTGAAATACGACAGACTTAGAGTCAGTCTTGTGTTTATTAAGGGTGATTAGATGTGGCAGTCGTCCTGAAATACATTGACTTCTGATCTGTTATAGCTGTACATCCAATGATTCATTTATAAAAGTTTCACTAAAATCCATCCCTTGGTTCATGAGGTATTTTGCTAACAAACCAACCAACACACATCCAATCATGATCATTCCCCGGGCGATAATTACTGAGCTTATGCAACAATGATGTGTTGTTTCCTTTGTAGCTGCTGCACGAGTCGGGCATCTCTCTCCGTGCCGCCTTCCTCTTCCTGTCTGCCTGCAGCATCATTCATGTCCTTAGGACTTTCTTCCTGCTGCCAAGAAAGTTCATCCCCTACCCGCTGCCCGCTCGCTACACGTACGGGTACGAATAAAAACATTTGACTCATACATCGAGTAGAAGTCGAGACAAAAGACAGAAATGATAAATACAGCAACATTCAAACATGTTTAACACAAACAATACCAAGGAGGTAAACTGCTTCATCTGGAGCATTAGTTATACTAAGAAATCTTCAGATTTAGATTGCACAGAATTAAACTCTGTAATCTATTTTAGAAAGGCCTCTAATCTGAATTCATCTTGAATTACAGCCTTATTTTTTCTCACAAATACAAATGGGATTAAGGTGGTACAGAAAACAGCTGAATTAAAATAGATCAAAATCTTGAGTGATTCTCTCATTCAATTAAATGTTTTTGTTATTTTGAATTATTCTTAAATGATAAAAGTTTAAATTACACATATTTATTTAGCAAAAAGTCTTTAAAAATATATTGAAAGTTGTCTTCAGTTTTAAAATGAAGCGTTGCCAGTTTTGAATTAGAAGTGTGACCAGATTTAGAAAATGCTTTTAAATAATTAAGAAAACCAAATCAGCTAAAATATATTAAAAAAGGATGTATTAATATTACTAATAATAATAGTAATAATTTTTTTTGTAGTCTTTATTTTGGACAATTTGCTTAAGAGGAAAAAAACGTGATTTTTTACTAGAATGTGGACAAAACAGTCTGTTCTTGAATTATACTGTGAGTAAAACAATCGTACAGTAATTATAATTTTATTTAGTTCTTTTAATAATATGGTCCTCAGACTATCTGATCCAGCAGAAAGAAACTTATTTCTCTTAAATTAAAAGCAAATAGTGCTCATTTTGTTTTAGTATAATCTAGACATATAATGTGACTTTTTACTAAATGTTTCTGTTGAAGTTTTAAATTGAAAGTATTTGATCATATTGCTGAGACAGAAAGTGTCTAATGTTATTAATTTATAACGTTTACAATTAGTTATTTTTATATTCCCTCTGAAACTCAGTGTCAGTACTGTATTATATTCTACAGGACTTCCTTTCTCTGTAAGTAAAATGGAACAAACATTGAGAAAAGTTGAGAACAACTAAATAAATTAAAACTTAAGAAGAAGAAAAACAAAACACCAGACTGTGTTCACTTTCAGGAGAACTTGGAAGAGAAACGTCAGAAAATTTGAAACAAATATTAACCAAACTCATCCATTTCAAACACAAGAGAAAATAAAACAGTCAAATGAGTTTTTGCTCTTTATGTCCAACTCAATCCCACGTCCTCCGTAGGATCTCTTGTGGTAAATCAGAGGCTGTGAGCTCAGAGGTGGCTTCAAATGGTCCTGAACCTACAACCGTGGAGGAAACTCCACTCAACAAGGAGGCCCCCAAAACACAAGGTGTGTTTTTTTTAATAGAAAACATCATAAACTGATCGTTTATCCATGTTTTTTCATTTTAGTCTTACTCCTTTTGTCCTCCCCGTTTTGCTCCGTGTGCCTCGTCTTCTCGTTTCTCAGAGAAGAGTTTTTGTGAGTGTATGCTGTCCTGGTTCTTTGCGTGGCACCTGCTCTGGTTGTCGGTGATGCAGCTCAGACATTACCTGTTCATCGGCACGCTCAACCCCATGCTGCAGAGGCTGACGGCCGGAGAGTCCACTCTGGGTACACAAACAAACGCATGACACCGTGTTGCTGCAACAAAGTGTTTGCACAGTTGGAGTAGAGCTCCTGCACGCTCCTCACAATCATGGAATTTGCTTTTAGGCTCTTAAAAATAATTAAAATAAACAAAATAGAGGTTGGGAAATCATTTATTTCAGCATTTATTCCTTTTCTAAAGATAAATAGCTCTATCAGAATGTTTTTCATAATTAGTATCTAGAATTTAGACGTGGAGTACTGTGCAGAAGTTTTAAACCAGTTCATCTCTTGTGATGCTTTGCTGCAAATGATTTTCCATTTGTTGCTTGTAGTGAGCTACAAGTTACCCTGAAGTCTAAGTTGTTTTTTTTTTTTGTTTTTTTTTTTTTTGTATTTTACTTTAAATCGGAGCACAGTTTCCCACAAAGAGCTTCATGGTGCGTTGAAGAACACTTTTAGATCATAAACCTGTTACAAAAACAGGCCTCAAAGTTTTATTTTGTCCGAAGTGTTGGTTCCTGTTCTTTATCTGGACGTGAGCAGTTAATGTTTTTAACTGGGCAGCAAAGAAATTTGGAAATTTAAATGTGAAATTATTTTAGATGTTTATAGCTCATCATGACTGAAGTAGCAGCTTTCTCCTGTTTGGGAGACGTTTGTGGCGTTACCGGCTTCAGATAATTGTTGGACGTCCTGTTTTTGCCTCCCTGCAGTGAGTCAGTACACCAATGCGTTCGCCATCACCCAGCTGTGTGGAGTGCTGTGTGCTCCCTGGAACGGCCTCATCATGGACAGACACAAGGGCAAACCTCGTGCTGCAGGTAACGAGCACACTGAACACACGGTTAATGCACCGAGACCTAAAGTGGCTTTAAAAAAGGTTTTCTAAAACACAGCAGCTTGTATTTACTGGATGCTATCTGCAAACTTTTAAATGTTTTTCAGGAGGTAAAAAAAAGTCCATATGTACACTAATCAGTCTCTGATGCAGAAACAAATTATTTATTTAGATTTTTATTGAAATTTACTGAACCACTTTAAAGAAACAAAACATTTTGTTTGTTTAGTTGTTGACTGTCAGAGTTCAGGGTCCAAGACTGACCCTTGGAGACCTTTTAGGTATTTCATGAAAACATATTAAATTTATAAACAGTAGTACAGAATTAGAAATCATTTGAAATGTTAGTGATTTAATAATTTGTTAAATTTCAAATGTCACAGCTTCATGAAGTCAAATAATTTGAATTTTTATCAGGATTTTATCTTTAAAAGTGTCATTTCCAGCAATGAAAGATGCTTAAACTAACATGTTTTCATTTTTGTTTGATGCTTTATCTGTTAGTGATCTGTAAGTGTAATAAATTATTATTAACTGTGCACCACAGAATAATAAATCAACAAGTTTTACAAATATTAGTGTAGGTTAGGTTTTAGGTTAGGTTTGTGTACAAATACTAAAAAAGAGAAATTAAACTTTAAATAGGAAATGAGAAAAATATATTCAAACAAACTGATTTATGTTTGCACTTAGTTTGACAGTTTTTTTAAATCATAATAATTTTATTATTTTTACTGTATTGTTGTAAATTTTTTAAAGTGATGAGTCAAATCATAAAACCTATTTTGAAATTAACAGAAATGTTTAGATTTTATAATGATTTACTCATTAGAATTAGACTCCTGGTAGAAAAACAAATTAAATCTTTTTTTAATGCCAGGTAGGAACTTTATTCAATAATCCACACCAGCGCTTGGATTATTTTACAGGTAAAAAGAGTTTCCTGAGGTTGGACTTGACACAGATTTAGTGTTTGTAGAAAGAAGCCATAGCTGCAGTATCTTCAGTTCAGAGCTGGAAGGCTCTCTTCTCTCACCTCCTGATGAATGTGTTTGTTTAGGGAAAAACAAATGTGTTTTTTTTTTCCTTTCAGATAACTATCAGTGTTTGTGTGTTTCCAGGTGAGACAGAGCGGGAGGCCGACCTGCGGGCCTCGGTGCTGTCTCTCTTCCTGACGGCGCTGCAGTGTGTCCTCTTCTCCCTGTGTGCCTCCACCCCCTACCTGCCTCTCCAGTACCTGACCTTCATCCTGCAGGTGCTCAACCGTTCCTTCCTCTACGGAGGCAACGCTGCCTTCATCAGTGTGGCGTGAGTATCACACACACACACGCATACACACACACACACACACAATGCCAGACAGGTTTTTGAGTGCTACGAAGGATAAAGGCATCATCCTGTATTGTCAGCAGATAGTCTGCTGAAAAGTCTTTTAAAAGTAAATTTGAAGTAATTTTTATTCAGTTGCAGTTTTGAGACATATTGAAGTTTTTATTTTTAAAAACAAAAGAAGTATTTGCCTGAAGAATTGTTTTACATGCCCATTGAAAGGCAATGGACATATATTCCAAATATTGCATTTTTGAACCCGTCCAGAGGACCTGACTTAACCTTTTAAAAATTTTCTACCTGGATTATTGAGCATGTATCAGGATATTATGGTATATATAGTCTTTGTCTGTAATCTATCCCTTGTCCTGCCCATAACATCTGATTATCACAGACGGAGTGTCACATACACTTTTTATCACCCCAGCTTCAAGGTCACAATTCAAGGTCAAAGTTACAGCGAGGTCTTTGTTTTTTCCAGGTCGTAATTTCCAATCCGCTGTAAGGGAATAGAATGTCTAAAATATTGGAATTATTAATTAATCAGTCTCATAAAATTTTTGTGGTTAAAAATCAACCTTTATATTAAACAGACAGACTAAATGAACACAGAGGTTCAGTTGTGAGATTTTTGTGACTTTATTATGCATATTTATTCATTCAACCTTTATTTAAATAGATATAAAAATAATAATATATTTGTTGTTATGGTGAGGCGCTCATCTTGTCTGTGAATTTTGTCAACGGAGGAGGCATCCGCGAAGACACCTCTGAGCTGTGCTGACATTATTTGGGAGTGGGGGGGGGTCAGCGTTAGCTTTTTAGCTAGCGCGCCTGTATTGTACGCCGCTAGCTTAGCACTACATCGTTGCCGACGAGAATGGGGGGTGCCGCACACCGTTCGGTTCGGTAGGCGGGGCGGAGCGCCCAGCTTGTATAAACAAACAAAAACACTGATGAGTAAACTCAACAGTGATTTATGAATAATGACGAATGAATATGTGAAAACTAGTAATATTGAAATTAAATTAAAAAAAGTAATGTTATAAATCGTATATCAATTATGTTAAATCATTGAAAGGAAAGACATAAGGATAAAGTTAACTGAAACTTTAGGCAAATTTAGACTTTGATTTGTTGTGCGTGGCAGGAGGGTGTTGTCATTAGCTGCTCATGGAGCGAAGTAAATAATCTAATTAATTTTGAATTAACTGATGTTATTATTATGAGCTACACAGGCCAACAGCAAGCAGATGAAACCGTGAGCTCTACTAGAATGTTGCTTCATCTCAGCTGCTGCGTAGATACTGGTCTGTTTCTGATGACACAAGACCCAAGAAGTTGAACATCTCCCAGAGTGACGTGTAGTCTGTAGTTGGAACGGACATTCGTGATCGCGCCAGTTCTTAAAGTCGGCTGTTTTGGGTGGGAGACCCACAGAGGCTTAAAGCTGGTTCAGGTGAGAACTAGAGGTTCTGCTCCTGGTTCAAAACTGGTTTGGGTGAAGACTGCAAGCCCGGTTCTTTTGTTGATGTATCGACTTCTTTCAACTTGAAAAACTTGCAACTTTTCTGAAACTTTCACAGAGAAATCCAAAAAAGTTCAATCTGGTCCTCTGGACATTCAAAAAAAACAAAAAACAATACAAAGCAAAAAAATCTAGAAACGTTTCGTCTCTCATCCAAGAGACTTCCTCAGTCTGAGGTGCTGTATTCAGCTCAGTCTCTTAAATAGCACCTTCTCAGAGTGGATCAACCAGTTTTGCTGCTGACAACCAAAACCAGCTGAACACATGCTCAAGAAGGACCATCAGCCTAACAATGGGTCATTAGCACACTGATGGCTGTTTACTACTCACAGAGGGCTGAGTGATACTAGCAATCACAGCAGCACAGAAGATCAACATCATCAGGCCAGGACTCTGCGGTCTACACTCATCTCCAGGCCAGCGGTCACTCTTTCAGGGATGAAGATGTTCACATCCTGGACAGAGAGGAACGATGGTTTGAGAGAGGAGTAAAGGAGGCCATCTTTGTGAAAAGAAATCGTCCATCATTAAACAGGGGTGGAGGCCCTCGGGTTCAACTGTCCCCCTCTTACAATGCTGATGGTCCTTCTTGAGCATGTGATCAGCTGGTTTTGGTTGTCAGCAGCAAACTGGTTGATCCACTCTGTGAAGGTGCTATTTAAGAGACTGAGCTGAAAACAGCACCTCAGACTGAGGAAGTCTCTTGGATGAGAGACGAAACGTTTCTAGATTTTTTTGCTTGGTATTGTTTTTTGTTTTTTTTGAATGTCCAGAGGACCAGATTGAACTTTTTTGGATTTTTCTACCTGGATTATTGAGCATGCATCAGGAGATTTCACAGAGAAAATTTATATAAATCCTAACTTTTAAAAAGTTACTTTTCAGACTCCATCTTCCTCCCTCCCCCTTCAACTCTGGACGACTCTGACTTTCTGCACCTGCCACCTCCTGCTTCTCTCAAAGGAGGGGGTGTGTTTGAAAACTTTTGTCCAATCAGATGTCATATCTGGTCTAAAAGGCGGGTTTTTAACTCGTAAAGTTGCATTGTCTAAGATTTCTCATAAAAAAAAATGGATTTAATCTCAAATCTTTCTGCCTTAAAGTGTCAATAAAAACAAAATAAGACAAATTATATTACCTTAAGAAATATTACTAAAAATACACATTTCATTCATAGATATTCAACTTTTTAGCTCGAGATGACAACTTGTTTTTCCTTTTTATTCCTGCCCACAGAGACTTTTCTCTCCGTGTATACTCCCCAAAATAAAAACAATAATAAGTTTATCAGCTTAAACAGAAAAAAAAACACAGCACTGTGTTTTCAGCAACATGAACAACTTGGTTAGGTTAACAAAACATAAATCCTGAAATTGTTCTTTGTGGTGCCAGGAGGAGATGGTTCTTTTTCTAGTGCATGTCAATAAATCTTCAGATAAGCTCAGATGGTCGTTTTTATGGCACAGCGAGATGAAAACCAGAACTTTTGGATTATTAAAGGAATTCAGATCTCTTTCCTAAGGACACGGGAGTTTAGTCTTGTTTAAACTCAACAAAAATATTAAAAGTTTGATGGTAAAACAAACACTGATGTGTGTGTCTACATCGCTCAAGATACACATTTGTACCACCACTAGAGAACATGTTGCATAATCTTTTCATCGCTCCAGCTCTAAGGTCAAGGTCACACATCAAGGTCAAAGGGGATACAAGGTCTTTGCTCGTCTATTTGCTATAGATTGCTGTACAATAGTTTGTCGATGGGCGTATGAAGTGCCGTGTGCTGTACTCTTGTTAAAGTTGATGGTTTCCCATACTTTGTGTTTTTGTTGTTTTGTTTGTGTTTGTAGATTTCCATCGTGCCACTTCGGGAAGCTTTACGGTCTGGTCATGGCTCTGTCCGCAGTCTTTTCTCTGTTGCAGTATCCCTGCTTCGCTCTGGTGAAAGGAGCTCTGGGCGGAGATCCTTTATATGTGAGTACATTTTAGACTTGTTACCAGCTTCTTTTAGCTGTGGACCTTCTCTCATGGCCGCCTACCTCTGCCTTCAGGTGAACGTCGCTCTGACGCTGCTCAGCCTGCTGGCCTTCATCCACCCTGTCTACGTCTATCTGCACTGTCGGCGTCTCGCCTCTCAGAGAGCCAGCAGCTAAGCCAAACTTCTTCGTGAAAGCTTTGAAATGAGAGCAATGACTTGTTTTTTTAGTCTTGCTGCCTCAGACTCCTACAGCTTGTTCTCACAAGGCTGTATGTCATCGTTACAACTGAGTATTAGGTGTTTCTAAACAGTAGCTGAACTTTGAGATAAAAGGGATTTTAGACACTCTGTGAGTTTGTTCAGGTTGCTAGCTCTGAAGTGATAAAACATGATTGGTTTTTTTTTCTTCCTCAAAATAGTATTATCTTGAAGCAAACGCAGTACTAGATTTCTTACAACAATTCTGTCTATTCACTGCCCCAAGTGCTTCAGGCACATTTTTGGATTTTGCACATCCGTCTTAATTCACACACCTCTCGCAAACTGATGTTTAAGCCTCACTTTTGACCAAACAGCATCTTTCTGCACTGGTGTGGTTTGCCCTCGTTGAAAGGAAGCATGCTTCTAGAGGAAAACCCACATTTAAGTAAATAACTGCCCAAGGTAAATGTGTCTGATTCTCAAAGCTCGGTGCCAAACTGCAGCACACATTTACTGTCTCATGGGAGCTGGTGATAGTTTTCTCAAGAGAAGGAAAAAAGGAAGAGGAGTAATCTGCTGCCTTCACAGAAAGGGAAGGTATATTTCATCCCCTCTGTTTTATGCATGGTTTACTAAATTAGATGATTTTTAGAACACACAAAGTTTAGAAAACTGAACTCAGTCATCTCATAGATCTTATTGTGATCCCAACCTCAGAGTCTTCCTGGTTTATTCATTCAATCTTTATTTCTACAGGTTAGTGTCATTGAGCCACAAGGACTCATTTACAAGAGAGACCTGTTTTAAACAAAGAACACGGATGAGGTACAGACAACAACAGACAATCATAAAAAATAATTTACAATGAAAAGTAAATAGAAGAAATGATATGAAAACAAAACAAAAACGAGCTACATTATATATAAAGCAATGTAAAACGCTAAAAATAGGAACATGTCTGTGTTGGTTTGAGCCATGAACTTAACAGACGTTTAAAATCCCTTAGAGAGGTCAAGGTCGAGAACTTCAGATCTTTTTGCAAGGTGTTCCAGGAAACAGGAGCGGAGTAGGAGAAGGCTCTTTTGTCAAATTCAGTCCGCACTGAGGGGACGCTGCAGGTAATTGTGTCCTGAGAGTGCACGCTGTGGCTGCACTGATGACGTGACATGTAGGAGGAGATGTATGAAGGCAGCAGACCAAGGAGTGATTTACAGATGAAAATTATTATTTTAAAATTTATAGCTGCTCCCTCGAGATGAGGTGGATCCGCCACACCCATGGAGAGGGCAGAGCACCCCTGGTCCAGAAAGTCCTTTGTTCATTTATTAGGTAAAAATACAATTATATTTTGATGATATATAAAGCTTAAATATGCTTCATCATTGATACAGTGAGACAGTTTTATGCAGTTTCTAGATGTGTCTCTGCTGTTCCTCCTAAAAACATTGTTCTCTTTCTCTCTCGCTTTTGTACCTGCAGTGTTTGTGACTGACATGTTTAATTTATACAGCAGGGCAGCTGTGTTCTGCTGCTTTCTGATGCACAAAGAGATCTCCAGCAGCTGTGTTTGCTTCACCACATAATTAGGGCAATTTGTGAACAGGATGCTGAGATGGAGCAGACAGCTGCTGCAAATGAAGGGCAAAAAGTTGAGCTCAAAGACGCTGCAAAATCACAGCAAGCACGAATGTGTGCAGGTACTGATCTAAAACTAAACCCTCGGAGCGTCCAGCCCTGAGGCTGAATAACTAAAACAGAACTCCTCTAGAAAAGCAAGAGCAACGGGTCATTTAAATAATGACCAGAGCAGTCAAATTAGAGTCACAAAAGCAGACTTGTTGTTCGTGAGGGACCTGTAATTTGCAAACCCACGCAACACGTTTCTTGTTGCTTCAACACAAGAACATAAACCTGCTCACCCGCTCAGGTAATAAGTGCAAAGAAGCTCTACTTTAACATATGATCTGTTGTTTTATATAAATCTCTGACGACTTGACAGTTTTGTTTTGCTGCATTCAAATTCAGTTTTAGTTGGAAGTTGAGTCATTTTTAGGTTTTTAATCCAGAAATGTTTGAACTTATAAACGGACCTCCTCCTGTAAAAGTAGTCCCATCTTCCGTTAAGATATATTTTAATTTATCGCTGTAAATTGGCAAAGAAATGCACCTTTCACTTAATCACTAATTCACATATTTTGTTCTCTGGAAGGAACTTTTCCAAATAAAGAGCTTGTCTCTAAACTGTCTCCAAACCTCCCAGGCACGAATGTCTGGACAATAATTACCGACGTTCCTACAACGGCAACAAATCTGCCTGTGCAACAAAAGCTAGAGGCTGTTCACGTAGAATCATTTGTTTGATTTAAAATAAAATGTAAAGAGCCACAGAAATGAACAGTGCAGTATTTTAATAGTTTGTTTTAACCTCATCTGACTTTTGAATCTGTCACACAGTCACGTTTGGTTTACAGGAACATCTCAACATTTTATCTCTCGGGTTTGACTTGTGTTACATTTTGAAACGACGTTACATTTTATTTAACGTTTCTAATGCGTGACTGTTGTTTTATTCATTCGATCGCTCAAACACCAACTCCTCAGAGCTAAAACTTGATCATTTTCACATCAACAAAGACCTCAAACGCTCGCACAGACGTCTGTACGCAGGGTTTTTTATTACTGATTTAACAAAAGAAAGGAAGAGATCGACACAGAGCAGTGGATGTAGAAGGGACGTCATAGATCAGCCTGATTGACTCAGATCAGTGAAACTGGTTTGTACACAGGTTGAATGGGTAAACAAGGGTTAAATAAAGGGAAAGACAAATCTGCCATCTGCTGGTTTCAGCAGATCTATCAGATACTGATGGGAATCGGTGTAAAGTCTCAGGAGTTGAGTGAGTTGTAGAAAATATGGGCGATTTTTTTTTTATATATATTGTACTGAGACCACCATGAACATTTCTAAAGAGATGTTTTTATTCTCTTCACTGTATTTGTTTTTGTTTCAAGCTGACTTTTTTTTTTAAGTGGTGATTATTATCAACATCAATGTGCCTCACCAAAGGGAATGTAGCTATAGATATTACATTTTATATTAAAGGGAATTAATTTTTATACATTTTTCAGCCTGACTTTTGTTAAACTGATACAATATAAAGTTACACCTACAGGTTTTTCTAAAAGTGCATATGTGTTTTTCGTCTGTTTTCTAATATGAAATTATGTCCTGGAAATTTATTTTACAAACATGTTGGGAAAAAAAACCATTAAAGCACTGAGAATTATAATGTTTGCTTCTGAGTTTGTTGTTTTTGAGTTGGATGTTTTTGATGTACCGTATTTTTCGGATTATAAGGAGCATTAAGCGAAACAAAACAGCTACAGTGCCTTAAGAAAGTATTCGGCCCCCTCGAACTTTTCAAACTTTTGCCACATTTCAGGCTTCAAACATAAAGATGTAAAATTTTTATTTTTTGTGAAGAATCAACAACAAGTGGGACACAATCTTGAAGTGGAATGAAATTTATTGGATGCGTCAAACTTTTTTAACAAATAAAAAACTGAAAAGTGGGGCGTGCAATATTATTCGGCCCCCTTGCGTTAATACTTTGTAGTGCCGCCTTTTGCTGCAGTTACAGCTGCAAGTCTCTTGTGGTTTGTCTCTATCAGTTTTACACATGGAGACACTGAAGTTCTTGCCCATTCTTCTTTGCAAAACAGCTCGAGCTCAGTGAGTTTGGATGGAGAGCGTTTGTGAACAGCAGTCTTCAGCTCTTTCCACAGATTCTCGATTGGATTCAGGTCTGGACTTTGACTTGACCATTCCAACACCTGGATACGTTTATTGGTGAACCATTCCATTGTATATTTGGCTTTATGTTTTGGATCATTGTCTTGTTGGAAGATAAATCTCCGTCCCAGTCTCAGGTCTCTTGCAGACTCAAACAGGTTTTCTTCCAGAATGGTCCTGTATCTGGCTCCATCCATCTTCTCATCAATTCTGACCATCTTCCCTATCCCTGCTGATGAAAAGCAGGCCCAAACCATGATGCTGCCACCACCATGTTTGACAGTGGGGATGGTGTGTTCAGGGTGATAAGCTGTGTTGCTTTTACGCCAAACATATCGTTTTGCATTGTGGCCAAACAGTTGGATTTTGGTTTCTTCTGACCAGAGCACCTTCTTCCACATGTTTGGTGTGTCTCCCAGGTGCTTGTGGCAAACTTGAAACAACACTTTTTATGGATATCTTTGAGAAATGGCTTTCTTCTTGCCACTCTTCCATAAAGGCCAGATTTGTGCAGTGTACGACTGATTGTTGTCCTATGGACAGACTCTCCCACCTCAGCTGTAGATCTCTGCAGTTCATCCAGAGGGATCATGGGCCTCTTGGCTGCATCGCTGATCAGTCTTCTCCTTGTTCCAGATGAAAGTTTAGAGGGACGGCCGGGTCTTGGTAGATTTGCAGTGGTCTGATACTCCTTCCATTTCAATATGATTGCTTGCACAGTGCTCCTTGGGATGTTTAAAGCTTGGGAAATATTTTTTGTATCCAAATCTGACTTTAAACTTCTCCACAACAGTATCTCGGACCTGCCTGGTGTGTTCCTTGGTCTTCATGATGCTCTCTGCACTTTGAACAGAACCCTGAAACTATCACAGAGCAGTTGGTTAGACTTGATTACACACAGGTGGATTCTATTTATCATCATCAGCCATTTGGGACAACACTGGATCATTCATAGATCCTCACTGAACTTCTGGAGTGAGTTTGCTGCTCTGATAGTAAAGGGGCCGAATAATGTTGCATGCCCCACTTTTCAGTTTTTTATTTGTTAAAAAAGTTTGACATATCCAATAAATTTCATTCCACTTCACAACTGTGTCCCACTTGTTGTTGATTATTCACAAAAAAATTAAATTTTATATCTTTATGTTTGAAGCCTGAAATGTGGCAAAAGGTTGAAAAGTTCAAGGGGGCCGAATACTTTCGCAAGGCA